TAATCACTTTTAACCGCGTGCAGAATATTAAAGAGAAGGTTAAATGCTAAATTTAGTCTCTCAATTTTACGAAATGTACATTTTTGGTCTTTTAATAATTTTTTATATTTTTTTGATCCCTTGACTCTAAAAATTGCACAATTTTGATCCCTCCGTTAGTTAAGTATGATGTAGCAGTTAAATAATTTCATGTGGCATTGTTTTTTAATTTTTTTTGATGATGTGGCAATAATATATATTATAATTATATTCTATAAATAAATAAAAATACCATTTATGTATATTTTAATTAAAAACAAATAAAATTACCTTATTACCCTCACCCTTCCAATTCCTCTTCTTCCCCTTCTTTCTTTCTCTTTCTTTCTTTCTTTCCTACCCTGGGATAGGCTGGGTTCAGTGGAAACCCAGCCTTGCTGGGTTCGTCGACCAGCTAAGGTGAACCCAACAGATCTAGGTTTCGACGAACCCAGCTACTGGGTTCCGTCAAACCCATCTTTGTTGGGTTCAATTGAAACCCAGCAAGGCTGGTTTCGGTGGAAACCCAATTTTGCTGGGTTCATCGACCAGCCAAGGCTGGGTTTCAACTAAAGCTGGGTTTCAACCGAAAGCTGGGTTTGACGGAACCTAGCAACTGGGTTCATGTTTTTTCATTCTTCTTTCAATTTCCATTCCCAGTTGTTAATAAATTTGGGGGTTAATTTACAATTTGATTGCATTTTTGTTAGAATTTGATTAAAGTTTGATTGTATTTTTGTTGGAATTCGATTAAAGTTTGATTGGTATTGTTTATTGAAGGGTTAATTTGATTTGATAAGATCTGCAAGGTTTGAGGTTTCAATGAAATCCTGTAGTTCAAGTTCCCCCGAGAAAAGAGAAGAAGAAGAAATGGGTTAAGATCGGTTTTGTAGATACAGTGGAGATGAGAAAGCATTCATAGAAGAAGAAGAAATAGGTTAAGATCAATTTTGCAGATGGAGTGGAGATGAGAAAGCATTCAGAGAATAAGAAGAAATGGGTTAAGATCGATTTTGCAGAGAATGAAGATGAGAGACCAATTTACAAGCAACGTGGGATCCATTGGAGGGGTTTTGGCGTAAAGAAGATGACATATCATAAAAAAAAAAAGTTTATATCAACATCTTTTTAAGTTGTGCTCACCATGTCATCAAAAAAAATATGAAAAATGCCATGTGGCTGAGTTAACGGCCCAAATTGACAAAAGGACTAACGAAATGCATTTTGTATAGTTGAGGGATTAAAAAAGTGTAAAAAATTGTTAAGGGATCAAAACTGTGTAACTCACTAAAGTTGAGGGACCAAATTTAGCATTTAACGTAAAGAGGAAGTAACTAACTGCTTCACCCACGTGCGGAACGTGAAGGTTGATTTTTTCGGTGGTTGCTTGGTGGAAGGAAAAAATTTCAAAAATATAGACATGTCAAATACTCCACTTAAAAAATTCTCAAAAAGTGGCAGTACGTACCGAGATGAGTGTAACAAGGTCTGCATCATTCATGCGAATCGAAGAAATTTGGAATTTGATTTTGATTCCCAACGCTATAGCTGTTCCATTATTTTTTTGGGTAATGATTTGCGGGACGAAAATGGGAAGCGAAAATGGGAGCCGACAAGTGAAGTTGGTGAAATTATAAAATTACCCATTTAACCAACTTCACTTGTCGGTTCCCATTTTCGCCCTCCACTTTCGTCCCGCAAATCATTATCCTATTTTTTTAAGTTCGTGTAATTTGTATTTTTAAAATATAAATTAAAATGTAATAAATATATTTTTA